CCAACAGAACCACTGAGCTGCACGTGGAACACGCAATAGCGCCATACACGTGGGAGGGGTTCATTGTCAAATTTGACACTTCAAGGAAGGGTTGACGAAAACTGCCGTTTTCTGGTTTATCCTATCCATGTTTGCTTTCCTATCGGTTCTTGCATAAGATTTACCGTTTAGCGTATCTTTGCTTTAGTGTGTTACGTTTAATTTGATCGGGAGACGTGTTCGTCGACGTCAACGTCAACCGACAACACTGCAAGACTTGGCCGTGGCACTGCAAGAAGAGTGGGTCAGATTGCCCCAAATCGTGATTGGACGGTTGATGAGGAGCCTGCCACGACGAATTACTGAATGTCTGAGGATTGGTGGAGCAATTACTCATTATTAAGACAAAAATCAAAAACGTCCATTTCCACTTTTGACAGTGTATCTCTGGGAGTGAAATGGGGCCGTCAGATAAGCCGCCCATATAAACTGTTTATGTTCATGTGTAGGCAATTGGCCTGTTATTAACATACACTGGTTACCTCTAATAAAAACAGCAGTGCATTTCCGTAGTTTTGTATTGTTTCTGAATATCCCCTACTTTTTTGAAGAGTATATTTTTAGGTCAGTATAATCGTTTTGATCGTATCGAAACGTATCCGAACGTAACTCCACGTACCAGATCGTGGATTCAATAGGGACAGTCCTACCGTAACGCATCGTACGACAGTGGGAACCCAGCATTAGGTTGCACGCACTCGATTAGGTTGTTTTATCTTATTGATCTGTTGAAGATTTTTGTGACATGAATTTGAAATGTCACGGCATTTCCACATACTGTACGTACATGGATGGTTGTATTTGATGAGGGAATCTGATAACTAAAGATACATTATGTAATATTTATACAGAGCTGCTCGTTCTTGCTATAATAGTTCAATTAACAACCGATACCAAGTGTCGTTTATCTATTTTAACGTTAAACTCCTAAACGGCCGATGGCCCAGAGAGTTAATTATGGGCGTGTCACGTTAATAAATGTTTAAGTTTAATTAATAGCTTAGATAACATTTGAATCCTGAAAAGACTCCGGCAATATGGCGATTTAGCCCTTATGTATCTTGAAGGTGCATTGTTTTGCAAAGCCATGATGTTATTAACCGCTTAACAGATCGACCTTGATTAAATGTCAAGTGTTAAATCTCCCCTTGTTACAAATACTTGATAATCTGTATATAAACATTATTAGATATTCGCGTCAAATAAATGTCACTGAGTCATCCCCGTTAATTACATTATCAGCTTGTATTTCTACATCATTACAAAATTCATTGCTAAAAGCGAGAGAGAGAGAGAGAGAGAGAGAGAGAGAGATTAACGTCCACTCGACACAAACTAGGTCATTTCGGAACCCGGAAAAACCCACGAGGCTGGACAGACGACCCTACTCCTTGCCACGTACAACCGGGAAATCGAAACCACGCCAGTTGACTTAATGACAGACCTTATGATACAACGCGCACGCGCTTACCCCCCCCCCCCCCCCGGCCAAGTTGCTAATAGCAAATATTTTCATTTTCTGGTGAATATTTAATACAACTTTAGATCTCGTAATATTTGATATAATTTTAGATCGAGTGAATATTTTATAGAACGTTAGATCGAATCAATATTTCAATATTTTATAGAACGTTAGATCGGGTAAATATTTTATAGAACGTTTGATCGAGTGAATATTTTATAGAACGCTAGATCCAGTGAATATTTATAGAACTTTAGATCGAGTGAAGATTTTATAGAACTTTAGATAGAGTGAATATTTGAAATAACTTTAGATCGAGTGAATATTTTATAGAACTTTATATTGAGTGAATATTTATATAACTTTAGATCGAGTGTATATTTGAAATAACTTTAGATCTAGATCGAGTGAATATTTTATAGAACTTTAAATCGAGTGAATATTTATAGAACTTGAGATCGAGTGAATATTTATAGAACTTGCGATCGAGTGGATATTTTTTAGAACGTTAGATCGATTTAGATCGAGTGATTATTTATAGAACGTTAGACCGAGTGAATATTTTATAGAACTTTAGATCGAGTGAATATTTTATAGAACTTTAGATCGAATGAATATTTTATAGAACTTAAGATCGAGTGAATATTTATAGAACTTTAGATCGAGTGAATATTTTATAGAACTTTAGATTGGGTGAATATTTATAGAACTTTAGATCGAGTGAATATTTTATAGAACTTTAGATCGAGTGAATATTTTAAAGAACGTTAGATCGAGTGAATATTTTAAAGAACGTTAGATCGAGTGAATATTTTATAGAACGTTAGATCGAGTGAATATTTTATAGAACTTTAGATTTAGTGAATATCTTATAGAACGTTAGATCGAGTGAATATTTTATAGAACGTTAGATCGAGTGAATATTTTATAGTACGTTAGATCGAGTGAATATTTATAGAACTTTAGATCGAGTGAATATTTTATAGAACTTTAGATCGAGTGAATATTTATAGAACTTTAGATCGAGTGAATATTTATAGAACGTTAGATCGAGTGGATATTTTTTAGAACGTTAGATCGAGTCAATATTTCAATATTTTATAGAACGTTAGATCGAGTCATTATTTTATAGAACGTTAGATCGACTGAATATTTATAGAACTTTAGATCGAGTGATTATTTATAGAACGTTAGACCGAGTGAATATTTTATAGAACTTTAGATCGAGTGAATATTTTATAGAACTTTAGATCGAATGAATATTTTATAGAACTTAAGATCGAGTGAATATTTATAGAACTTTAGATCGAGTGAATATTTTATAGAATTTCAGTGAATAATTTATAGAATTTTAGATTTAGTAATATCAATATGTGAAACAAAGAGAAAACAAAAGAATGACATTAATTTTCTTGTCATCTAAATAATTCAGTCATATGGCTATCTCTTTATTGTCTATTTTTCGTGAAAGTAAGGCAGATTGTTATCTTACAAAACGATAAAATAAAATATTTTAATTTTAACCCTGATATTGTAACTGATGACTTTTAGTATATATCTACACGATATTTGATTTCAACCCGTTACATGTTTGATACTGACATATTACTTCCTCTTTGGAGTCTAGCTACTTATAGTCTACAATAGTCAAACTGTACATTCAGGAAGAATATTAATCTGGATCAAGACGATAAAGATAGAGGAATATTACAAGTATATAATTGTTCAAGGTTTCCTGGTTAGAGAGAGAGAGAGAGAGAGAGAGAGAGGGGGGTTTAACGCCCACTCGACACACACTAGGTCATTTCGGGACTAACATATGGTTTAATCGTATATCAATAATTCGCTTGCGCGTAGGGGTCTTAAGCTGTGGGAGGAAACCGGAGGACCCATGAGGTTGGACAAACGACCCTACTCCATGTCACGTACAACCGGGGAATCGAAACCACGCCAGTTGACTCAATGACAGACCTTATGATACAACGCTGAACGCGCACGCGCTAACCATTCGGCCATCCACCAGACCACCCCCACCCCAATCCGTCGGGGCCTTCAAGTGGTACAACTGATTTCAAGAATTCGCTATGACGAGCAAGGGCCTTTAAGGGGTTGGAGTGAACCAAAAGGAAGTCCCGTACATCTAGGACATATACGGGTTCCATGCGAACATCTAGGGTACTCAAGGGTCCCGCGCATGTAGGGCGGTGGTTCCCAACCTTTTCTGGTTGCGACCAGGGCCGTAACTAGCTCAGAGCAACGAAGGGGGCGGGAAGTGCCCTCAGGGGCGCTATAAAATTGGCGGACAATGTATATCTATTTTTTTTATGGTTGAAAATGTTTTCACACGGGAAGCGAAACGTTTTGCAGGGCGGCAAGCAACCCCATTCCAAAAACCATCATCTGATCACGCCCCCTCGAAGAACAAATTCACCTTTAATTATAAAACATCATCCATATTTACAGATCAAAAATATTGTCATGATAGACTGGGGAAACAAATTGTGATGAAAGCCAATTGACAATGTGACATAAGGTGCATAGATCAGTGATTTTATATGCTCTCCATGAAAACATAGCAATTGTTCAAACGTTTCAGAGTAGCCCGCCACACCCCTACGAACAGTGCTTCGCGACCCCGGGATCTAGGGCATCTAAGAGAACATCTTCGTAGAATACAAATATATACGGAGTTTTTATTTCTATTACAAACGTTGTGTTCTATATTCATTTTGTTAAAGGTTTATGGTCGAATGATTTTATCGGTTAGTTGAAAATTTGCCGTCACTAATTTAAGTTGTGCTTAGTCATAATTATACGTAAAATATCAAATGAAACGGGTACACGGGATCTCAATTTTTTTATATCATCCGATTGACTAGGTCCCCCCGTGCTATACAACTGTCGTGGGTACACTACGCCAACAGATCCTGGGAAACAGGGATTTTCTTATTAGTGATCCCGTGTCGTCTCCATCATATTAAAGATGGTAACTTAAAGTTGTAGTCATTTTCAAAGAGTGGTTAATGTGGATGCCCCCCCCCCCCCCACACACACACACCCCACATCCCCATCCCGCGAGGCCAGTTGGGCTACATATATCTAACTGTCAGTGTTCGACACCAATTGTAAGAAACCAAATAACATCGAGAGATCTCGAGTCACGTAACGTAGATGGACTATGTGGGATTGTGCCCACCTTGCATAGATGATAGTTATATAATCGACTGATCGAGTTATGTTTTAACCCCACCTTGCATAGATGACAGTATGGTCGATTGCGAAATTCTTTAGACTATGAGAAACACGATGTAACAAGCGATACCTTACAGTAGTAGTACTGACATTCATTCAGTAAGCAGTGAAGAAAAGCAGGACGTCAACCCCCAATTAATTTTGTTTCAATACGCTCGCACGACGCAAAGCTAAAACCCCCTTGACTTACCGTCATGTCTATGTGAAATATTTGCGTAATGAATAAACAATTTAGATACATTCATACCTTTATAAATCTGCTTGACTCGACTCACAACATGTGCCCGAACCTGGCTTTCACCTGTCGTTCTACTACAGGTTATATTAGATCCTCACAGGCCCGCCCTTTCAACTTAAACACGTTCTATATCAAGTTGTTCACTCCTCTGTCAACCGGCTTGTCATGCCTCAATGATCACACCATATGTTTGCTATGGTTTCTATCGAGCTTATCAAACGGATCCGCCTGACTATCTCTCTCTTTGTCGTTGTAATTTCCTAGTCAATACATTATCAATAAATACAGGTTGATCGCCCTAAAGATAGTACGTAGTTCAACAGTTGACGGGTTTTATCGATCGGACATCCAGACGTTTCATTTCACGTAACAACACAGAATAAACACAAACGACTCAACAAACAAGACGTTAATCCCTGTCGAATTTAATATCAGGTTATCCAGACATGCAGGCGATCTTCTTCCTCTATTAATAATGTTTAACGCCGGCTTCCACCGAGGGTGATATCGCAGACAAGTTGTCTTATGCGAGACTCTGAATGTAGAGCAACAGTGTCCAACGCACGCAGCATAGCTAATTAATCAGAGACAAGTCAGTTACACGCCTTGGTTTTAAACGATTGGACATATAAAGGGAAATAATACCGTTATACAGACAGGATACAGACCACTGACTCCGATTGACGTCGATGTTAATTCCTGTCACTTAGCTTGACTCTAAAATTCTTTTGGGCCGAAGGTGTTTTAGTCCAGACGAAATACCGCCTGGCTTAATTTCGCCTCAAAGCATGTATACGAATTATCTAGGAAAGTTTTCGACGAACAAACTGGAGTGGCATAATAATATTAGTAAACATGTAACTTTGTGTACTCTCTCTCTCTCTCCCTCTCTCTCTCTCTGACATAACTACCGAAATGACCTAGTTTGTGTCGAGTGGAAACCATGCAAAAATATACGGTAAAAATGATTACCACTGTCTCGATTTTCCAGTTACCCCTCTTAATAACCCAAAACAAACAAACATTAACCCATACTATCAGAAATCAGCCCCCTACGGTAAAATAACGGACCAGTGTTACCCTAATATGAGATAAAAGTATAGTTATTTGAATAACAACACGTTTAGATGTGGGACCACGGTGGATGAGTGGGTATCGCGCTGTCTCATTGACAAAGAGGTTTCTGGTTGTCCAAGCAATTTTCTCTACTATTCTGCCCCGACTGAGTTAATGAAGACGGGCATATGGCATACAGTGTACTATGAGGGGGATTTTTCCAGGGCAGCGGTACTATTGTCTACTCCTATATCGAATTCCAACTGCCAAGGGATCTTTTACGTGCACGCCAATGTGTATACGGGACCTCGGTTTTTCGTCCCATCCGAACGACTAGACAGCTATCCTTTTCAGACCCTTCGTCCCGCACCTCTGGCAATGGGAACCCGCGTCGGAATAGGCACCATTAATCAGGCACAGATAATAAAGTAGTATCTGTGGACGAACGAAGATTTGGTCTTTTCTGTTTGTAGAATGTGAATAATTGTTTCACGTAGGAGGGAGCAGTATTAGAGAAATGAAATAAAAAGGCTTTAACGTCCTACTATTCTACTCCGACTGGGCTAATGAAGACGGGCATACGTCATACACTGTGCTATGAGGGATATTTCGCCTGTACAGCGGCACTATGGCCTATCAAATTTCAACTGCCAGGGATCTTTTACGTGCACGCCAATGTATATACGGGTCCTCGGTTTTTCTTACCATCAGAACGGCTAGACAGCTGTCCTTGCCAGGTCCTCCGTCCTACACCACTGATAAGGGGGGGGGGGCTTTCTCGGCTAAGGCAGGGATGGAACATAGAACCTGCAGGTTATCGACCAACGTCTTACTCGCCTTTTCGACCCCTCCTCCCTCCCAAAAATTAACTCCACTGACAAGGGGGAACATTCTCGGCCAAGGCAGGGATAGAACACGGAACCTGCAGGTTATCGAGCCGATGTTTTAATCGCCTTTTCGCCCCCTTTCTCACTCCGGAAAAGTAACTCCACTGACCAGGGGGAACTTTCTCGGCTAAGGCAGGGATGGACCACGGGACCTGCAGGTTAGCGACCCCCCGTGTTACTCGCCTTTTCGTCCACCAACCTCCCTCCCGAGTAGTAACTCAACTGACAAGAGGGAACTTTCTCGGCTAAGGCAGGGATGGACCACGGGACCTGCAGGTTAGCGACCCCCCGTGTTACTCGCCTTTTCGACCCCACCCCCATGAAAAGTAACTCCGCTGACAAGGGAGAGCTTTCCCAACAAACGTAGGGATGGAACACGGAACCCACAGGTTAGCGATCCTTTTCGTCCCCTCCCCCCTTGCCTCCCTCCAGAAAAATAACTCTAGGAACTCAAGGGATTACAATCCAATTTTTTTATTACTGAATAAACTATTATCTACATAAATAATAAATTATAACTATTATACAATAATTATAAGTAATAATATACACTAATAATTATAATGAAATAATATACTTTGGTAATCATTGGTTAACTAAGCTGCTAGTTGACGAAATTTTCTTCCACGAGCCTTAAATGATCGTGCCCGTTTCCTTGTCTTTGTTGGTGTTTCGAGGTATTCCTGTAAGATACAAAAAGATACACAATTTTAGTAGAGAGCGTAAGAAAAATGGCGGTTTAAAGTCATCACAGCCCAGGCTATGTAATTTCGGCACTAGCATAATATGGTACGTTTGTTTTCGATAACTCACATGCTCATATAGCCCCTATAGTCCGTCAAGCAGTTCAAAATATCAGAGAGCCACGGTGGCTAAGTGAGTATGACGTAGGCACGTTAACCTGGAGGTCCCGTGTTCGATCCCTGCATTGGTGGAGAAAGTCCATCGGGAATTTTCCGGCGTGGTTCCCTCCTTTTCAGTGGTACAGGGCGGCAGGGTCTGACAAGGGACAATATATAGTCGTTCGGATGGGATGAAAAACCGAGGTCCCGTGTACCAGCAAAAGATCCATTGCCAGTTGAAAATCGATATAAAAGTAGGCGGTAGGGCCGTGGTCCGGACACAATTGTCCCCATAGCACACTGTATGGCACTTGCCCATCTTCATCAACCCAGTCGGAGTAGAACAATAGGACGTTAAACCCCATTCATTTCATTTTGTATTACAGACAATTCTTAATTTGAGAAAAATACTATGTTTATGACCCTTGTCCCGCGCATGGCTATACATCCTCGTCTAATGTTTGCTTACCTGTAGATCTTTCTTAAATCCATTGACATCAGTTTGATTCTTGGCTGGGAAATACTGAAAATATAAAATATTTCCCCATGTTATATAATATACAAAATATCAATTATTTACGTGTATAGTACAGCTTCATAAAATATATGTATGAGTCGTACGGGGATGGGCGGAGAGGAGGGGTTTAACGTCCACTCGACACAAACTAGTTCATTTCGGGACTAACATATGGTATAATTTTATTTCAATAATTCGCTTGCGCGTAGGGGTCTTTAGTAGTGGGAGGAAACCGGAGGACCCGGAGAAAACCCACGAGGTTGGACAGGCGACCCTACTCCTAGTCACGTACAACCGGGGATTCGAAACCACGCCAGTTGACTCAATGACAGGCCTTATGATAAAGCACGCACGTGCTAACCATTCGGCCTTCGGTATCAAGGGTCCAAAATATTTTTACAATAAAGCTCCCTTTCAATGATCGTAAAATAAAAATAATGAACTGAGTCTTTAGTATACATTCTTTCGTTTGGCGTCTCAATGACTTCAAACGCTAAACCTTTCTGAAAATGAACCGATAGTGCTAATGAAGACGGGCATACGTCATACAGTGTACTGTGAGGGAAAGTGTGCCGGGACAGGCGCGCTACGGCCTACTCTTATATACTCTTATATACGGTCAGGCCAATATCTACACGGGACCTCGGGTTTTTAGGCCTCCGTCCTGCACCACTGACAACTGTGAACCACGCCGCAAAATCCCGATGAACTTTTGGGGTCTTCTGAAAATGAAATAATCGTATCAGAAGGGAGATAAGTCTCATGACAATATACTTACGTCATCGTACATTTTCTTGAGTGAATCTTGTGTTGGTAGATATTTGTCGGCCATGTTCTTCATATCTTGTATGTAACCCTTGTATAAGTCCGTTGGTAGGCGATCAAGGGAGGTAAGCGGCAAGGGGAGATAAACATCAGCCTGGAGCTCTCCTTGTGTGGGGTTAAAATAGGTCACGTTCACACTGGGAATGAAGCTGAATTTTGCTTTGAATTTCTCGATCTCTTCTCGGACCATCTGTTTTAAAAGTTCTTTCAATTCCTGCAACTGAAGTTTGGCGTTGTTTTCAACCTGCCAATAACCGTAGGCCCATTTACCCTGGAAACATATATTTATTTATATACAAACAGTTAATACAAAGTAATGTCACTATTTCAAGTATTCGCTTTTCATTAGAAGTGAGAAAAACCGGGGATAATCCACACGATTGGGAAGGTGACCTCCTCATTGTCACGGACAAACACAGGGTCGAACACCACAACCACAACCACATGAATCCATACCAGGTCTTATGATTTAAAGCGCACCTGTTAGACTATTCATGATCACAACGGTATGATCTTAAACGCAACAGTTACACCATTCATTCGGTCAGCACGCCTTCCCCACATCCACCCTATATCCAGTATAATGAGATTAAAGACACCGGCGAGTAAGCTACGCAGTATAGACAAATGGCACGAAAGAGTTATTTTGTCACATATAATTGACACGAGTGAGAAAAGTTCGTCATAGACATTTGGCACGAAAGCGTCACGTCCTCAGAAACAACTGATAAGAACGAATCATATCTTCATAAACAATTGGTACGAAAGGGTCAATTCTTAATAAACTATTGGCACGAAAGTGCCATTCTTTCTTAAACAATTGGAACGAAAGAGTCATGTCTTATATAAAAAAAAAACCCTGGTACGAAAGGTTAATATCGTCAGGGAAGACAGAACGAGTCATGTCTTCATAAACAATTGGTACCAAAGAATGATATGTTCTTAAACAATAGGTACGAAATGGTCAATACTTAATAAACTATTTGCACGAAAGTGCCATTCCTTCCTAAACAATTGGTACGAAAGAGTAATGTCTGGCACGAAAGGTTAAGCTCGTCAGAGAGGAAAGAATTAGTGTTTCGAAAGGAAATTACACATACCTCTTGGTAAGCTGCATTGGCCATTGAATGTACATATTTGACGTCATCTCTCTTCATGAACTGATCAAAATGGCCGTTAATCGCGGAGTGTATATTATTAATGGCGTCATTGTAGTGTTCACCGAGCTTCATGGAACTAATAAGATCGCCCAGCTTTTGGTTGATTCCAGTCAAATATTCCCCATAGTTGGCGTTTTTCAGATCCTGTAGTTTCTGGTGCAACATTTGAACCCGTGGATGGTTGGTGATTTTAACTACTGCATCTGTAACGTTGAAAATGATAATATGAAATAAGCATACGGAAGAATACAAGAGTTATGTACCCTGTCACACGACGATATTCGAAGTCTAAAATCTTTAAAGTAAAGTCACATAAAGCTGCATTTGAACAACAGAAGTTGTTGCGTTTTGATCATTTTCTCATATTTTATCTGCAGAGCTCACACAATACGTGCAACTGGGTGGTCGAATGGTTTAACGCATGCGTGTTAGATCATCAGAGAGAGAGAGATGGATTTTAACGTCCACTTGACACAAACTAGGTAATTTTAGGACTAACATATGGTTCAATTTTTATTTCAATAATTCGATTGCGTGTAGGGGTCTTTAGCAGTGGGAAGAAACCCACGAGATTGAACAGGCGACCCTGTTCCTTGTCACGTACAATTGGGGAATCGAAACCACGCCAGTTGACTCACTGATAGACCTTATGATGCAGCGCGCACGCGCTAACCCTACGGCCACCCACCCCCACCCCTACAAGAGTATTTATATCTTACCATTAACATGTGCTTGTACCAAGTTTGTATGTTTTTCTACACATTGTCTGATATCAGCTATAATTGTTTCTATATATTCATTTACATCTTCAATTATCTTCTCACTCATCATCTACAGTAAATATTATACATCTGATTAATACTTGAATAGAATAGAGTAGGATAGTATAGGATAGGATACCGATTCTCCTTATTCTATTAGTGTTTAACGCCCTTTCCAATTCCACTGAGGATGATATTGCAGACAAGATGTGTTTTTTTTTAGTTATGCGCACGCTCAGTTTTTTTCCCGGGGGGTGGGGGGGGGGGCGGAGTAAACTCAAGCGGTTCAGAACAGAAAGCGCCTCTATCTCCATATCACATATGCTCAGTTTAGTGATAGAAAAAGCAACCGCAAGCCAGAGATGACAGGGCAGCTAGAGCACGACCGTAAGCCAGAGATGACCCACCAGCTAGAGCACAAAGTGCGATACTCTACTACTCCAATAGGCGATCCCGACTCAAACCCTTTAGACCCTTTTAAAGCGCCCAATATCTATCATCAACTCACCTCGGCTTTGTAGAGAGCTTCATAATACTTTTGTCTGATTGGGTAAGCTTGGAATTGTTGAACAGCCGATGAAACACTTCCAATCATACTTTCGTAGGACTGTTTGTAGTGTCCAATCAGCTCTCTCAAATTGGTACTGAAATATAGAAAAAAAACATGAAGAGATGACGAATCTTCGCTGTCTTATTAGTTGTGATCAAACCTTGACAATATCACCTGTTTTTTGTAAAATCACATATGACAATAAAATGAATGAATGAAGACATTTCGCTGTAACGTATTGCAGAGGATACCGATGTGAGCTGTATTCGGGGCTGGAAGCTGTTTAAATTCCTCCTGTGCCGAACATGTATAATCAATCGAAACAGGTCTACCTGTTCCCATCCTATGCCAGACTAGTCACTTAATCCGTGACTAGCCCATCAGCCAGGTTTCTTAGCCAACATTACTCCACAATATTGCCCTAGGTGAAACCGGAAATAAAGCCCAAAAATAGAAATAGAATAAGAATCAGAAATGGGGTTTAACGTCCACTCAGTCAGGTTTCTTAGCCAACATTACTCTACAACCTAGGTAAAACCGGAAATAAAGCCCAAAAATAGAAATAGAATCAGAATCAGAAATGGGGTTTAACGTCCACTCGACACAAACTCGATCAATTCCTGACTAACACATGGTTCAATTTAATTTCAATAATTCGCTTGCGCGTAGGGGTCTTTAGCAGTGGGAGGAAACCGGAGGACCCGGAGAAAACCCACGAGGTTGGACAGGCGACCCTACTCCTTGTCACGTACAACCGGGGAATCGATACCACGTCAGTTGACTCAATGACAGACCTTGTGATACGGCACACACGCGCTAACCATTCGGCCATCAAACCCCTCAAGTAGAAATAGGCAGAGGGATTGTAACCGACATAGCCTGAATTTCGACCTGACATTGTCTCGCCATATTTCCATGGACTTTCCAGTCCGATATATTTGAAATATTTCAACATTATACTTACTGGCCTATGTAATAAAAGTTCTGTACTTTGTCGCCCATATCTCTGATATATAAATCATTTCTACTATGCATTCTTCTTAAATCTCGTACAAGATTTTTTAATTGTTCTTCAAGGAAAACCAATTCTTCTGACACCAAGGCAACGTATGGTTTTATTTCTTCGGCCAGGTTTTCAGATATTTGATTGTATTTGTGAGAAAGTTCGCGTCCAATTTGAGCCTTAGCTTCTTGTGATAGATGGTTGGATATCATCAACAGTTCTTGTAATTTCTGGTGTGAAAACATCTGAAGAAAAATAAATAAAAATGAGATGAAATGGGGTTGAATTACTTTACTGTAATGAGTGGGCTAATGCAGATGGACATACTCTTCATCGATTTGCAACTGTTAAGGGTTCTTTTACACGGGCGAACCTCGTCATTTCGCCACATTCACAAGACTAGATCCCTTTAATACGGGTGGACCTCGCCGTTTCGCCAGATCCACGACCTTCATTCTGCATCAATGAAAAGGGGAAACTGGGCTTGGAAAATCCTAAGGAACCATCTCATCCAACACGGTGATCTAAGGAACCTTCTCATCCAACACTGGGATCTACGGAACCCTCTAGTCCAACACGGGGATCCTAGCCGAAGTCACCGAGCCACCATAGCTTTCAGTACAGATAAATTTGCGAATACTCTTACCTTTAATTCCTCCACTATGGCTGGCCTCCATGTGATTCTAGAATGGAGAATTCTGGATGTGTTGAGCCGAGCTGACATAACGTTCTCCACAGTTCTTTGTCCATTGATCATTGTGTAGGCCTCGGTTCTAATGGCGCTGCTGTTGACGTATTTACCCTCCAAATGGAAGCTCTTAGACAGATCATCTACAAAATATAAAATTGCGTTCGTTAAGTAAGATGATTTAACGTAAAACGTAAACTCGCAACGAACTAGGTCACTTCTGGACTAACATAAGGTTCAATCTTATTTTATTATTCGCTTGCGCGTAGTTTGACTTTAGCAGCAGGAGGGAACCAGTGAATACCCAAGACGTTGGACAGGCGACCATACTCCTTGTCACGTACAACCGGGGAATCGAAACTACGCTATATGTTTTATTCAGGTTATCTGAATGGGATTGGGGAACATGCTTAACCTATGTAAAACCCTGGGAACTACGCTAGTTAACTCAATAGCAGACCTTATGATACACGTACTAACATCCCGAAATCCCCCCCCCCCTTTGCCAAAAGAACAAGCAACATAAAGGTCTGTTGCATCAGCAATGTGTTTTGTGGCTGGATATTTAAGAATAAACTGTATGTATATATATATATACTCAAATATAACCATCTTGACAATCAAGAACAAAACTATACAATATATATTATGTAATAAAACCTACTATTGTCATAGTTAGTCTGGAACTCAAATGTTTTCTCATCATACGAAAGTGCGGCAGAAACACTGGGCTTGTCGTCAATCATGTTCTTTAAAGTAGCGTGGAATGGTGACATGCTTTCAACTTCACCAGATAATTTCATCTTCTTCAGTGGATTAATAACCTACAATATAAACAGATGATTTCCTTTAAGGTGAATTTTATCATCTACAAAAGACGGAAAAATAAGCGAACCAGTTAAAGTGGAAGAGTTATCCATGATACATCTTGTATTTCCTATTTTGGGGCTCCATCCACATGTTATTGCACTCTAAGGCTTGATGACCAGAATGCCCATATCCTTGTAAACGAAATGAAATGGCGTTTAACATCCTACTGTTTTGTACCGACTGGGATAATGAAGAAGGGCACACGCCATACAATGTGCTAAGAGACACATTTTGCTCGGACAGTGGCAGCCTTGTAAACGCCACAACGACGATATAAAGCTACATTTTGATTTTATCTGTACGTACCTCGATGTTGATCTGTCGCCTGAGTTGATCTATTTCTCCCAGAAGTACCATGTTCATTTGTGTTCGTGATGCTGTAAGGTACTGAAGTTCCACACCAGTGCTGTACTTATCAGTGGACCGTCCAATGTGTGAAGTCAGCTGAACATCAGTGTCGGTGTATGGATGACTGATACCCAGAGACATGGTGTAGTTCTTGTGAGTTCTATCATAAGATACATCCTTAACGTTGGAGGTGAGGATCAGAGTTTTTCTGCTGTCTGGTGAATAAGATAACTCCGTCTTACCGTCAAATATAACTCGACCTCTATATACTGTCATTTCAGAGCCAATTCGGATGTCCTGAAATAATGATACACAATCTTTGATGAATATAATAACTAGACACCTTTTTTTGTGGGAAAACATATGTTCATTTCGTCGATGCATTGATGTGCTATGTGGAGTGGGTATCTGCCCACGTTTAAAAGTCCAGATTTGTTAAGAATTTAAGACAATTTAATATTTAGATTTGTCACAGTGAATGGGTCATTTTAAAAACAAACCAACCCAAACCTGCCTGCATTTATTCACATTAAAGAAAATGAAATGAAATGGGGTTTAACCCCCTACTGTTCTGCTCCGAACTGGGCTAGTGATGACGGAAGGAGACATAAGACTTACTTACCCTTTTAATAGATGGCAAGCTAAGCGTGAGATCAACTTTATTGGTTCTTTGTCCGGGTTCTAGACTAGCTTTAAACCCGAATTTCTTGGATTCATCTCGACCAGAATCCCACATTATAGACCCATCAACATTCTTACGAGCTGGAGCATTAGTCGTTGATCCTTCTAAGGCAATGGTTCGCATGGGTAGTTCAATCTTTAGATCCCCATTGATCATTTTGTGGTTTCGACGGTTTTTCTCCGACAAGTTCAGCTCGTAACCAAGTCTCTGTCCTTTGTGGTCGTTCCATATGATGGCTCCGTGGCTCTTTACTGTATTGTCTGAGGTTTGAACAACACCACTCACGCCCATAGTTCTTACTGGGTGGATCAATTTAACGTTGAATTCCTTGTCAATATCAAATCGACCGCCGTTGGGAGTGAAAGAAGATTGGAATCGGAGATTATGTTCTGGGTGTCGTTTGTTCCAGTTGACGTATACATCACCACCAATGATGCGATCCTTCTGGATAGTCAATTTCATTTCCATAGGGTATGGTTTATTCATGTCAATGGACATTTCGGGTCGATCAGCTGTGATAACTTCCACGTCCATATCAACGATTTGATTTTCGTTCAAGGAAGCTGAAAGGGATTCGGCGTATTTGTCCCCATTCTGTGTGCTTTTCATATTGATGGTCGTTGTTTTGACAACCTCGAAGGGAGTTGATAAAGTGACAGTACCCGTGTGTGATTCTGAAGACCATCCTTCTGTCTTTTGATAAGAGCCGTCCATTTCAATTTTCTTGTTGGGCTCCCATCCGACAAGGAAATGTGCATTAGCTTCACGGCCGTACTTTTCGTTTTCAGCACTGAACCTTAGTTCTTCCATGTGTGTGATTGGACTGGTTAGCTCGGCGTTAGCCTGAAAAGATGTTGGTGAAACATATCGGAATTGAACTTCGGTATCTACCCGACCTGTTGGTTTGGAATCTACTGTAGCAGTGGTTTGGAAATCTTTCAATTGTCCCAAGTGAGTAAAGCTGATATCAACAAAGTCTAATTTATCAAATGGTGTACGGATACTTATTTTACCATTCATGGGAATGGCAGTGGTATCTAAATCTCCTTCGATGCTGTAGACCTTATTTTTGCCCAACTTTAATTTCATTTCAGCGCTTGGACGGAGCTTGTTCTTTCGCATATTGGCGGATAAGGACATGACCTTGTATCCACGGAATGGTGTTTTTACACTCCAGTCAAAGGTGTTTAGGTTTGCAGATTTGACTCGCAATTCAGATACAATCTGTTGTCTATTTCCATATTCAGCACTGATGTTGGAATCGACAGAACTGCCATCCACGGTATGTTTATAATCCAGCTTTGTTTCTTCAAATCCACCGAATGGCGTATTGACCTGAAGATTAGCCTCAACGCGTTTCCAATCAAATTGATAAAGGCTTCCAGTGGCTGAAACTTCCTGTCCGTCCATGTATCTCAAATTGGCACCGGCGTTATATCGGTTTCCTTGGCGGTTATAGTCAACGTTAGCAGCCAAATCTGTGAAGTTGATGAATGGTGTATTGACTGATGCGTCTACGTGTACCTTGTCGGCACTAATTTTGTATGTGGCTTGAGCTAAGATTTCTCCTTCGTTGATCTTTCCAGTAGCGTGAAGTCCACCATCGGTCAGTTCTCCTCGTTTAACAACGTTGACATAAGCTCGGTTGGCTGATCCGTAGTATTTATAGTCACCGTCAAGGATAACGGTCATAGAATCATCACCATCTGTAATCTTTGATTCGTAACCAGCGGAAATCTTTGATCCCAGAGAGACTCGAAGTTTGGTGCTGCAGTTCTTCAACGGAATTCCGGAATGTGAGAAGGACAAGTCAAGATCTTCCATGAACATACCTTGAAGACTGAGGGAGGAAGACAGTCTTTCCTGTGGTTTGTACGTGTTATTGACGCTACACTCGATGACTTTCTTTCCGTCATAGTTGAAAGCAGCCTTGGCGGTAAAGTCATTTAATCCACCAGTCTTTTCGAAAGAGACGGTAGTATCCTTGATCTTATCGGAGGAACCTTTCATTGTGAATAGGCCACTAGTATTTCCATTGAGTCTGAAGTTGGTAATGACTTTGAGAATTTCACCTAGAAGTTCAGCTTCACCCTGAAGCCTGAAATTTCGTACTTCTCCTTCTCCTTTCAAGATAAGTCGGTTTGTTGTATAATTCTCGAAGGGTGTGGTAACTATGATATTGCAAGACATTGGCGCATTAGACAGACTAATATCAGCTACGATTTCCTTGTTATAACCGTAAGATGCTTTGGCGTGTCCTACAAGGGTGCTATTTGTCATCTCGTGGTTGTATGCGTAACCCATTTGTTCATAACCTTGGTATGGAGTAGATATTTCACAAGAGACCCGGACCTGTTTCACGCCGTCATCAAAAAAGTTTACGTTACCGGTGTAAGTTGAATCCAGATAACGGATGTTACCTTCAGACTTAAAGTTGTGTAAGGAACCATCGTGGCTGAATGATACAGATATGTCTTTGTCTTCAAAATAGGGTGCCTCAACAGTTAGAGATCCCATAATGTTGTCCATAAATTTGAAGTTTCCAACGACGGAGGCAACATGCTCGTCACAAGTGGCTCTTATTTCACCTCTCGTATTATTCCATTCGCCATCTTTGTTTAACTTAATACCGAATTTTCGACCTTCACCATCCAAAAGGTAATCTACATCACTAGAAAGATCAATAGATGGGAGTTGAATATTGAATTTGGTATCAGCTTCTACCATGTTGTCATGTCCCAAAGAGGAAGAGAGTTTTGTCTGGAAGTTATTTGGAAGTCCGTAATGGTCAAAATCCAGTTTAAATGGAGCTGTGTAGGGGTTCTTTAGGAAAATGTTAGTTTTTATTAATCCTCTTCTAATTTTGTTGTCCAAGTAAGCTTTAATTTCTTTATTTTTTCCATAATTGAAAGACGATTTAAAGGTGAAATCATCCAGCTCTCCGTTTTTCGTCACGGATGCTTTCAGTTCTTCAAAGCCATCAAATGGACTGTGGAAGATAATAGACCCAGATGTCGTAGAATCATGGCTAAAGTTAATTTCAGCATCAAATATTTTGTTGCCAATCTGTACGTCTCCGCTAGATTGGAAGTTGGTCAAGATACCGTTATGTTTGAAGGTTGATCTGCTGACCTCATATCCACGGGAAGGAGTCTTGACCACAAGTGAACCATCAATACCATCCTTCATCGTCAATAAAAGATCGCCTTCAAGTGTCTTGTGTGGAGCGTAATTGATTTCAGCATGGGTCTGGATATGATGTTGGTTGTGCATATGACGGACACTACCCCCAACTTGTTTAAGGTGTTCGAAGGGAGTTTTCAATTTAATATCGAAGGTATATGGTGAGTCCAAGTTGTAGAGGCTATCCAAGGTGATGACCTTTCCTGGGTAATATTCGATTTCGATCTTTGAATTACGTCCGGTATTTTCCAAACGGCTTGAAACATCGGCCTGGGCGTAACGGAACTCTTTGAACGGAGTATCAAGTCTGAGTGTACCTGTGATATCGGATCTCCAGTTGGCATTGAGTGATGTTGCAAATTTTTCAACAATGGGCAAGAGTTTGAACTCGGCTTGGCTATTGATGTCGTACATGCCATTCGAGAAGTGGAACCCGGTCTCCAGTTCCCGGATTTTATCAAATGGAGTTAATAGTTTAGCCTTGAACATCTTCTGGTCTTCCCATCCCAAGCGTGTTTCAACTTCAACAGTTTTTCTGACATTGTATTCAACGTTGCCGGTGGTGATCCATACACCTCCCTCCTTTTTGTTGTTGGCCGTTACAACAATTGATCGTAAATGCTTGAACGGTGTAGTTATGCTTAGGCTACCATCCAGTGTTGTTGGTAAATCGCCAGAGATAAAACCATCGGCTACTATTTTCATTCTTGGTGCCCACTGTAATTCCATACGGCTGTTGTAGGGTGAGCTAGTTTCTACGTTCAGTGAACCGGATAAGTCTTCAGTATATGGGGTTGTGGCCGCAACATTGAAGATAACATTCCTGACACCTCTTCTGTAATTAATACTGCTTGAGCCAATAACTCGCTGATCGCGCTTGACGGTTGTGGAATGAACGATACTTTCACGTTCAAATTCATTATTAAAATCGACAATGACATCACGAAGTTTGTTCCACGGAGTCTGGAGTGTTATCTTTCCATTCAATGTCTTGGTGGCAGATGAAGAGTAACTTCCAGACACGTCAAACTGTATTTTGTATTTCCTGTTCCAGGTGGTTGAGAAGTCAGTCTTGAAGTCAGAATCTGTTAAGACCAAGTTCCAGTTTGATGTACTTCTATGGTAGGGCGCTGACACTATTAACTTTCCTGTATGATTCATGTTCCATCCAAAACCATTTGCAGTCATGTCCAAGTCGTAAGAGTACTTTTTACTATTATGGTCAATGGAAACGTCTGCAATGTATCTATCACCAACGCTAACGTAGTTCAGTCTGGCAATGATAGATTCCATATCTTTGAAATTTGACTTGAAGGTAATGAGTGCATCGGGGCCCCTTTGTCTTATACTGCCGGGTGGGTTGATTTGGAACTCTATGTCAGCATATTGCTTCTCAAGTTTTGCTTTCAAGGTGGCTGTGAGGGTGTTTGCAAATTTATGTGAAAATGCTGCAGACATGCTTCTGTAGTTAACGAATGGGGTTTTCAATTCAATTTCTATACTCGATTCATCAGCTTTAAATGGCTTCATGGTGATGCCTGTTGATATCTGTTTCTGGTCTGCCCAGGAGACCATACCTGTAATCGTGGTGTCACTCGGGTTTTTATTGTAACTGAATACAGTAGATAGCTTGGGAAGGATCTCAAAAGGTGTGGTAACCGTCAAATCGGTGTCAATTTGTCCTCTACGGTTTGAATGAACAAGATCCATGTTGATTTTATCTTTTCTGTTCCAGGCAACGTCGACATGGGTGTTGATGTCAGTATTTACTCCGTTTCCTTTGTGGCTGGCGTTAACAGAAATGGTTCTTCCTGGATAAATAATTTTCAGATTTCCATTCATGTCGGCTAATGATTTGAAGTCCACGCCACCATCTAGGACAACCTTGGTATTCGCGTTTCTATTTTCGACATCCCAGTTGACTGCCAATTTACCGCCATATTGTGAGCCTTTCATTGTGGTATCGAGATCAGCGGACAGTTTGCGGTATGGACAGTAAACCTCCAGGTCGACAACGTGGTTGTATTTGTCCTGGGATATTTTACTGGTTGTGAATCCATATTTAGATTTACCATGCTCCACTTCGGCTGCTGCTCTGAATTTGTTGAAGTTGAGGACGGTGCTTCCACTGAAAGTGATTGGTTGTTGCATGTCTATATCCAGATTGTAGTTCTTCATAACGTCTATCAGCATAGGTAACCTCATTTGGGAACTGATCACGTGTTTATCTTTGTTGGGTCGTCCATACTTAGTTGTAATGCTTAACTTCCGTTTGTTTATCTTCACGTTGAGATTATGGGTATACTCCTTCTTCACCTGGGTCAGATCTGTAATGATGCTTATTTGATTTTTGGGAAACGCCAAATTAAAATCTCCTACCATATTCAAGACTTTGCCTGCCTTTCTGCTGAGTTTTAAGTCGGACTTAACCTTTTGACCTTTACCGTATTCCAAAACCAGGTTGTTTTGTAGATCATTTCTGTCATGTTTGTGTTCACCGCTTAAGGTGAAATTTAAATCCTGAAAAAATGAAATAGAATATTTAAATGAAGACGTGGAAAGCATCGTAACTGCAATATCATTCTAATTTAACATCACATGGACCAACGTAATTTTTGGGACTAACTAATGATTTTCAATAATTCGAATGCGTGTAGGACAAAAACAAAGTACAGGAATTAAACCCTTTGTCGCGTGCACACTTGGGATTCATTCAACCAGAAAAGGAAAAACAGTCGGTCACCCAAAATTTCCCTGAAAGCCAAAGAGTATCAATAAGAGAGAAAGAGAAACGGGGTTTAACGTCCACTCGACACAAACTAGGTTTAATTTTATTTCAATAATTCGATTGCGCGTAGGTGTCTTTAGCAGTGGGAGGAAACTGGGGGACCCGGAGAAAACCCACGAGGTTGGACAGACGACCCTACTCCTTGTCACGTACAACCGGAAGTATCAACCAGAATGATATATCTCGATAACATGACTTACAAGCATTGGGAGCTCGGCGATAATTTCATAATCAGCTTTGGCTGCTGCTTTGTTTCCCTTGTGGTTGAATGTGGCATCCATAAATATTCTCTTGTCGTTTGTCTTTTTGCTGAGCCATTTACCGTAACGAACTTCAACTGTTGCCTCGCTATGACGTTTATTGTGAGCTAGGTCCAGTTTTGTTATAAAGTTGTACTCTGGATTATTCTTAACATCAAAATTACTGAAATGTCAAAATTTATCTTGGGTGAATATAAACTCTTAGTGGAACAACGCGCTTTTAATCTGCTACAGATTAAAAATTTAATTCAAAAATGGCAAAGCGAGGCTAAGTCTCGAATATACCAGTGTTCTGGTTAACACAATGCACACATCCTGTCAAAACTACAAACAGTAATAACTTAGCTCCGAATGAAGTAATTTGAATGAAATTGGGTTTAACGCCCACTGGACACAAACTAGGTCATTTCGGGACTAACACATGGTTCAATTTTATTTCTATAATTCACTTGCGCGTAGGGGTCTTTAGCAGTGGGAGGAAACCGGAGGACCCGGAGAAAACCCACGAGGTTTGACAGGCGACCCTACTCCTTGTCACGTACAACCGGGGAATTGAAACCACGCCAGTTGACTCAATGACAGACCTTATGATACAGCGCGCACGTACTAACCATTCGTCCACCCAACCACCCTAATTTATTGAAGCGAACACGATCAATCACATCCGCATTCGTTTTAAATTCAACTTAGTTTTATCTTCAGTCAAAGTTGAACCTATATTCCCATGTCTTAATTACACGAATAATCCACAAGATTGAACTCGACCATCAACAACACCAACAGTTTAAATGGTCAATTCAATAAAGGAATTCAGATACTAATACTGATAGGGCAGTGTTGCGTTCGAACATAGGTAGCGTTCCTGCAATATCAATTCTTGGCGCCAAACTAAATGAAATGAAATGGGGTTTGACGTCCTACTGCTCTGTTCCCACTGGGCTAATCAAGACGGGCATACGTCATATAGTTTTTTATGAAGAAGATGTTGCCTGGGCAGCGGTGCTATACGGCCTATACTTATATATTGACTTCCATCTTCAAGGGATCTTTCATGTACACAACAATATGTGCATGGGACCTCGGTTTTTCGTCCCATCCGAACGAGTACTACCGAAAACAAACTTACGTGCTAAGTGAGTATTTAGTAAGTGATTTGGTACTCTTGTTGTTGAATTTACCACTCATAATGATCTTATTCTTGGTTACTTTATGTATCGTGTAGTCCAAAACAACTCGGGAAGATACGACACCACTCTTAACTTTGTTAACAGTACCATCTACTTTAGCTGTCAGCCATTGTGAGGCAATTTTGATATCAGTGTCATATCTCACAAACTTCTTTCTTTCAACTCGGACGTTATTGACTGAAATAAATTAATGAATAAATGAAATGAAATGAAATGTTATGCCCTTTTTCTTTAGGGGGTGGGTATGTGGGTGTTGTGAGTCGCTTTCTACCATAAAGTAGTTCATTAAGTCAAGTGTCGCAGTTCAAACCACCAATTGTTAAACACCTCAATTCTCTTTCACTCACTTTAAGGGGTTTAGAGTGTCCTTTTTGTGGCTGGTTGTTCGCTACCTGTAAAAAAGCATTCGCCGTAAACATTGGATTGGATTGTACATTTATCGAAATAAATATAGTCGGATTACCGTGTTAGATACAATATTGGTATAAACTTACAGGCGATGCTGATGGGTTTTCGTAGCAGATCCTTAACTGTTGCGATTACTTTTCCTATTACAACCTTACCCGGACGGTGTTCCATATCACCATCAACAGATATCAAATGTTCGACGGGTGTTTTTACAGCGAATCTTGGGACGATTCTCATGAACGATGACTTCTTCTTGCTTATATCCATTTCTAAAACGGCTTCCATCGTGTATTCACCTCGTTTATCAAACTGAATACTGCCCCGGATGCTCTTTTCTTTGCTAGTATCAACAATGGCTCCTGCAAAAGATGGCAGTGGTTGGACACCACATAGTGGTATTACAAATAGCCCTGGGTGATCATTTCTTTATGAGTATCAATGATCTTTGTTGGAAGTTCCTTTACAATTACGACTTTTTGTCCAATTGATTTGGGGAGTCCACGAAACGTCCCAATCAACGAATTAATAATGCATTCTGCATATTACCAATACAAGTTGGTGGTCATTTCCCCTTTCAACCAATCATAAGACATACGAGGTTCTCCGTTTGACCTTTGGCGTTGTACGTAAATTTAGGACTATTATGTCCAGACGATATTCGTTACAAAGACATATTGTAGAACAGGTCCTGTATACATACTGACGTGCACGTTAAAGATCCCTTAGCAGTTGGAATTCAATATTTCCCTCATAGTTCACTGTATGACGTATGCCCGTCTTCATTAGCGCAGTCGGAGCAGAACAGTAGGACGTTAAACCCAATTTCATTTTATATTATAGAACAATATTACATTTGCATAATATAACAGGACAAAGAAAATCATACTTGATAGAAAAAATATAAATAAAAAATTGTTATTCAGATAAAATTACGCGTAATTAAAATAGCTCTGGATAATCTACCCGCGGGTTTAGGGGCTGGAATGATTGAGACTAAACATACCTTTGAGAGAGATTGGGTGATCAATAACACCAATTAATGATAGATCCGTCTCAAATCGTTTCTTGCCTTCGATTTCAACAGATCCAGCAAGAACGATATCTTTAGCTCCTGGTCGCGAAACTTCAATTCGAGGTGACAGTTTGGTTAATTTTCCTTCATTATTGACATCAACGATAGATCGGACTTCGTATTTTTCATCGTCTTTAACAAAACTTCCAATAAAGGCTTTCTGTTTTTCTTCTAAGATTGCATTTCCTGGAAAATAAAAAAAAGACAATCGAGTTATCTTATCCTTTAACATAAACCATGAAAGATTGAGACTAACGGACAACTTATCCGTGCAGAAGCGGAAACGCTGATATGCCGTTTATGTCAGCACAAACTCAAAGATGTAAACTTGTTTCCCATGTCGGGGGTCACGGTGGCTAAGTGGGTAGACGTTGTCTAGTAGTTCGGATGGCACGAAAACCAGAGGTCCCGTGTAGACATTGGCGTGCACGTAAAAGAAATTCGATATAAGAGTAGGCCGTAGTGCCACTTTCCCGGCAATATTTCCCTCATAGCACAATGTATGGCGTATTCCCATCGTCATTAGCCCAGTCGGAGCAGAATAGTAGGACGTTAATCCCATTTAAAATCATTTCTTCCCATGTCGATTTATTAAAATCATAAGCACTTTAGACGTACATAGTGGACCATTCCTTAATATGGAGAGAGATTGAGAAATGGGGTTTAAATTCCACTAGACACAAACAGGTCTTTCGGGACAAATATATCTGAATAATTCACTTGCGCGCATTGGTCTTAAGCTTTTTATTGGTTTACAGTCGTGGGACTATACAGCACAGCGGACGATCACGACCGGTCTTCGGGTTCATTCACTTCAATTGATGGTTATTGTTTATTTCTTGCAATGTCTACATGGTTGTGTCTTATCCAGAGGGGTTGTGTTGTCGATTTTGTTGTGCCTGTAGTGCAGCTCTCCTGCCATTACTATTTAAGTAGTACCAATATCATATCGTACCCCTGCAATCCCTATTTACCACTACATCATAACAAAATGTCTTACCTTTAAGAACCATCTTGGTCCATGGTGAAGTGGCACTGACTTCTACTTCCTTGTTTTTAAAATCAATGACCATGTCCATCGAGATTTTTCTTTTGGTTTTAGATCCTGGTGTGTCGAAAGCTAACTGTGCTACACTCTTTTCTTTTGTCTGTGAACAAGTAAAAAGTTAGGCTATATAATTTTATTACCTCCCCTCCCCAGACGGACATAGTTAATGTAAGGCCCCCAGTGACATTTACAGCCATGAGCTGCATGCAAACTTAAAGATACATTATGGGAGATAAGATAAAGAGATGTCAGTTCTCGCTATAATAGTCAAAAACTAGATAGTGTAAAGGTAATTTGCTGAAAATTTCAGTCAAATTGATCCACTATGAGCATAGAAAGAAGTGGGTGAAATTTTTGCATAGTCTCGGTCATCATTACTAACATCATTAATATAAACAGCATAGTCTCGATTATCCACTTTTATTGATTTAATTATCAATAGCCGTTAGCGGCATATATGAATCTAATCCAGCCAACATCGAAGGATAGCCTTGACATCGAGAGTTTATTATGGTCTGGATAAGTTAATTAATGTCTGATTGATAATTTAGATAACATTTCATGCCTAAAGAAAGACTTGTAATAAGCAGATTTTGCTCTTGCATAATGCATGTTTAATCCAACCTTGTCTCATCCATCCGATGACTAACCAAGGCAACTGCATCTCAAGCAAATACAGTAATGCAGCTAACAGTGTGGCTTGTAAAGTTTCCATGTAAACGTGAATTGGGTTGTTCGTTTAAAGTACACTGTATGGCGTATTTTCGTCTTCATTAGCCCAGTCGGAGCAGAACAGTAGGACGATAAACCCCATTTCATTTCATTTCCATACTCTCTGAAACATCATGCCCCCATCATCTCTATTAAAAGTGGACTAAGGTATTCCAGAAAAGATATAAAAAAATGAACAAACCTCTAAACGTTTAGCCAGTAATTTGTATCCAGAATGAGTATCCCGTTTGTGGAGTATAAGACTCATGCTAACTGGTCCAGTAAATGGGAAGTATGGAGCTGCATCAACCATGGAGGCGTTGGGATAACTCAATTCACCACACAGCTCAACACCAGTAAGATCAGCCATCTTTTTACCACTACAGAAAGATCGAGTTTTATAGTTGTTTTTGATCATTTCTTGTTCCTTCTCTACATCACCCATAATAGTGAAAAACGAGGATCTGGAAAACACAAAATAGTACATGTAAGTGAAAAAATATAGTCTAAATAGTCGATGCTAAGATACCAAAATGAAATGAAATGAAATGAGGTTTAACGTCCTACTGTTCTGCTCCTAAACTGGGCTAATGAAGACGGGCATACACCATACAGTGTGCTATGAGGGAAATGTTGCCCGGCATTGATCGAGAAAGTTCATCCAGATTTTCAGGCGTGGTTTCCACTTGTCAGTGATGCAGGACGGAGTGCCTGACAAGGACACCTGTCTAGTCGTTTGGATGGGACGAAAAACCAAGGTCCCGTTTATAAATTGGTGGTCACGTAAAAGATCCCTTAGGCCATAGTGCTGCTGCCCGGGCAAAATTTCCCTCATAGCGCACTCCATCTAAAATAACTCTTTAGATAATAAGATAATAGTACGCGGACCGAATAAGCAAGAACTAGATTGGAAGGCTCATCTTCCACCCAGTAGCTTCAACTTCTAGAATCTGGCTCCAAAGTATCAATCCATTGCTTTGTTCTATATTTTCTTTTGCATCCTACTGACTGTGAAATCAGTAGTGACGGATGTCGTTCACATGGTGAAGTACACTATTCAAAAAAAGTAGGGGATATTTGATTTTGGGGCATAATACTAAAATATGCAAATGACTACGAAAAAAGTCACTATAGAACCTAACAGAAGAAACATTTCCAGTTACATGTGACGCCCAAACGCACCAATAGCTACCGCATGGAATGCAGGTGATGCTTGGGATCATCATGGGGGTCCAACCCAAGATTTGCACGACTCTGACTTTGAATGTTACAGTCATTGTGGCATTGAATTCCAGGGTGGAAACATCAGTTTAATTGTTTTAGTGACCAGAAGACAAATTTTGATATGCGTCGGCTTACCCAAAATGAAAGGTTTCGTGCCCTTGGCATGCTACAGATCGGCACAACACAGGCGGTTGTGGCGCGGACGATGAATGTTTCTCAGTCTGTCATAAGCAGGCTATGGTCCAGATACCGCGATACACAATCTGTACAGGACAGACCACGCTCAGGTCGACCAAGGGCGACAACTCAAGCCCAGGATCGATTTATCCGTACCTTGGCCTTGAGAAATCGTGTCATCACAGCAAATCAGATCAGCGCTCGTCTTCAAACAGACACTGGTGTGAGAGTGAGTGGCCAGACGATTCGGAATCGACTGCATAGGGGTCACCTTCACGCCCGACGTCCTCGCGTGATCCCTTGTTTGAGAGATCATCACATTCAGGCAAGACGTCGTTGGTGTAGGGATCGTCAACACTGGGATAATCGACGCTGGAGCAATGTGATGTTTTCAGATGAGTCAAGGTTCACTGTTGATTTTTTGGACAGACGTAGGAGGGTGTGGCGTCGTCGAAACAGCGCTTCCAAGACGTTAACGTCATCAGACATGATCGATTTGGGGGTGGTTCTGTTATGGTGTGGGGAGGCATCACTGTTGCTGGAAGAACAGGCCAGTACTACCGGGACAACATCTTGGCAGTCCATGTTGTGCCGTTCGCACGACGTCATGGCCGCCGTTTCATCTTCCAGGATGACAACGCAAGATGTCACAGGGCCAGGATCGTTACAGGTTACCTCCAACAACAGAACATCACCACATTACCTTGGCCAGCACTGAGTCCCGACCTCTCCCCCATCGAGCATGTCTGGGACATGCTTGGACAGAGGTTACGTCAACGTCAACAACGTCCTGCCAATGTCCAAGAACTTGCTGCTGCGTTGCAACAGGAATGGGACAATCTGGACCAAAATGACCTTAGACGTCTCATTAGGAGTATGCCACGTCGGATCAATGCTTGTTTGGCAAACAGAGGAGGATTTACCCGTTACTGACTTGGTTGTGATGTTGTGGTAACTTTGCTGTTTGACCCCGGGTATCATTTTACCCTTATAATGGTCAGTCTGTGCCTTACTTAGTCTAACGATCATTTGGAATAAATCGATGAATGTGAACTTCATTTCATTTTGTCATTTGTTTCTTCGTCAGTTTCATTAGGTGACTTTAATAACACTTAAAAATCAAATATCCCCTACTTTTTTTGAATAGTATATCTGTACTACTTCGAGAAAATTTGGTAACCAATTCTTATTTGAGCAGTTCATATAGCTAACAAATATTCAGCAATGCTACGCAATACTACATGAGTTGGGCAAAACAATTCATAGAAACCATTCCACTTACTTGATGTCCAATACTTCCATTTTCTCTTCAGGGGTGTCGATATCAATTTCAAGAATTTTACCACGTTGGAGGGTTGCCGTTGTTTTAAGTGCAGTACTGGAGTGAAGGGTGCTGGTCATCTTCATTCCACTCTTGGTAAACAAAGCGTCAACACTCATTGATCCACTGATGGTAACAGCTCCACTGAAATATGGCAGAAGGAGATGGGGGTTTAACGTCCACTAGATAGAAACTAGGGACTAAAATATGGTTCAATTTCATTTCGCTTGCGCGTAGGAGTCTTTAGCAGTGGGAGGAAAATCGGAGAACCCTGAGAGAACCCACGAGGTTGGACGGGCGACCCTACTCCTTGTCTCGTACAATAGGGGAATCGAAACCACTTGATTCATTGACAGACTTAAACCATTCAGTCCTACCCTCTCCACTGAAATAAAGAACAAAGCACTAATACTTATTGATCTTCTGGGGGTGAAATGAAACCATCACACGATGCAGTGGTCGTCAAAGTCATCTGTGTGTGTGTCGATCTTGGAATTCGCTTTCAAATGATCCCTACCTTGGTTTGATGATTCCATCAATATGAAGACTTCTTGGGCTGGTGGCAACTTTACGAAGATCGACTGATCCAGATGCTTTTAGATCGATACTGGTGACTCCGTTGACTGTCAGGTTAAGAGGTAGACCAGCAGCAGTTGGGATAACCATACTAGAATCCAGGAACATCATACTCTGACTAAAGGAATAGTCGTGGTCTTTTGAAATTTTAATCAAGAATTCCAAGAAGTTGAAATCCTTTGATTTGAAATCATCGAAACCCTTGAAGTGATTGTACATCATCTCGTTGCCGAACACTCTCATATAAACTGATCCTCGCATCTGTTCTAATTTAGCTCGGCTCTGAAAGGATAAAAAATGACGATCTAATGAAACGATCCAGACCAGAAAAGGCTATAACCTATAATTCTAAAATGTCGAAAACATCAATATCAATTTAACCATACTAAACAATTTTCGTGTAAAATTTAAACGTCACAAGGTGGTTGACGTCACATTTCTTTAGCAGTGAGTCATGTATGGTATACTGCTCATACCGGTGATCTGAAATGGGTCTTAATGGGATATAGCTGTCGAAAATCCCGAGGAACCTTCTCTGCAAACACTGGGATCGGACTCTGGACGTATTGATTAATCTCCCAGTGTCTTATTCACTGGCCCTCCAAAGCTCCACAGGATGGGTGATTCAAATAAGAACAACAAGATAATGGTCTTAAATAGCCGCATTTATATATATTATTAATTAATGACATACCTTCTCAACGCTTGTCTTTGAACTCTTTTCTCCAAAATAACCAAATGGTCCCAAGTAGGTTTCCAGAAGATATTCCAAGCCTTCAATACGTCCACCAACTTCAAACAGGTTGACGGAGTTACCGAAAAGATCTACGGTAAGATTGACCATAGCAGATCTCGGGATGAAGGATTTACTGGACCAGATGACGTTGCTTTCAACCATGGCACCGGTATTGAGTCTATCAAACATGAAAGATCCCTCGTAATTTTTGGAATACTTTACTTTTTCCAAATCGAATTCCTTTTTAAGAGTTTCGTCATCAACAATGGATTTAAGGTTCTGTTTGTGTGGACAGTCAGTCTCCATTAAGTTGGTGAGATGTGACCAGATGAAAGATCCAACCTGGTTAGCTTCTTCTGCTGCCAATAGTGCACGGATTTCATTAAGGTTATCTTCAGTTGGGCAGTTCATCACTGTCAAATAAGCAGCGATTCTGAGCTCAGAATCTTCGTCTTTGTCTTCCAACAGGGACATGGCTTCGATTCTCTGAAATGAAAATCAAACCGATTATTTTCGGATAATAAGTACACATCAAATGTCTTTTCTTGGCCACACTTTGTTCAGCATTTTCGGAAAGACTTCGGAATAATGATTAGTCAATCGCTAAGCCCCGCTTTATGACGGTACTACATATTTATACTGGTGAAATAACGCATTTGGTTCAATTAAGATGCGGTTACAGGTCTTACTGGGATAATTAGGCTGAAACGCGGGGCAACTTCTATTGAATTCCACCTGTCAAGGGTTCTTTAACGTGCCCGCTAATGATTACACGGGACCTTTCATAAAATAGAGAACAAAAAGATGCATGTGACATATGGGTCAATCGCAAGGCTATACTTACATCAGCTGAGCATGGCAGACGTCGGAAGGCATCAAGGGCAGCAACTCTGACTTCGATTGGGTTTGACTGACGTGTAAGGCAATGAGATAGAGGGCCAGCAACACTTGAACTGTGACCAGCATTTCCAATAGCTCTTAGGGTCAATAGGACCTGTAATGGAATAATTCATAATTATAGATGATTTAGGATAACTGTGCAACACATTACAAACGAAACAAACCGTACTGAAATCCTTCAGCGATCGCCTAACTCCGAAATTGAAAGATTGCAGATCTTATTAACGAAAACATCTAATAAATAATTGGGCATGTGTTCATGTTAATGTTGTTGTTACCTTTCGATAAAGGTAATCCTGTGTTGTCTACTTGGTCAAATGTTTCCCAAATAACAACCCATGAAATAAATAAAGTCCTTTTACGATTTATCCAGCAAAACACTTACCTTCTGGAGGTTCTCATCCCGGACGTAACATCCGTATCCCAAATTCCTTTCTAGAGCTGAAATGATTCCAGTGACCTCATGCTCATCAGCACAGTTTGGGTTCTTTCTACAATAGTTGTTGACGAGAGATGAGATAGGTAGCATGGATTTATCGCCCAATTCATTCATATTCAGGATAGCCTGCAAGATAATAATAGGTGTCAGGTTAGAGAGAGAGAGAAAAATGGGGTTTAACGTCCACTCGACACAAACTAGGTCATTTCGGGACTAACATATGGTTTAATTTTATTTACATAATTCGCTTGCGCGTAGGGGTCTTTAGCAGTGGGAGGAAACCGGAGGCCCCGGAAAAAACCCACGAGGTTGGACAGGCGACCCTACTCAATGCCACGTACAACCGGTGATTGTGTCAGGTTAGAATTACTGTGTTATCTATGGGGATGTTTAATTACAATAACATTAAAATCACATTTGCGTTCACCAAAATCACGAGAAATAGACCCATCACATGAAACAATTCTCATGACCATAATCACATGTGGTACTAGAAGTCCTGGAATATGCTTCACCCCTGGTTAAATAAATGAAACGGTCTTATAGTTTTGTAAACTGTAAATGCATTACCTTGACCTCCGAAAGCATCTGGAGTGTTGGTTCTTGTATCAGAGCTAAAGATGTCAACCACATTTCAGCTTGGATTCCAGTCACCTCTTTGTTAATCACAAGTTCTTTGAGAAGCTGAACGGAGCTGCTGGTTCCGACCATGGGAATAGCATCAAGGAAGAATTTCTTGGTCTTTTCGGTGTTTTGGGGGCATAAGCTTCCCCGGGAAACTTGTCTTTCAATGTTTCTTAAAGATGTTGCATCAAGTCCTCTCATCTGGAATATCATGTCCGAGAAAAGTGTTGGGACTTCTGGACGGATGTCCTTAATGGTGACTTGACAGAGTGTGGTGAGTTTGTTCAAGACCTCCTGTTGTTTTCGTTCCATATCTTTGTGTCCATTGGAATGAGTGAAGAGAAGTGAAGCTCTTTTATCAATGTAAGCTATTTTAAAAACATAAAGGATATCAATGAAATATCGATACTGGGTTAAATACCGGTCAATATTACATTATACATGTTAAGAAATAATAAGAAATAACAGCAAAAGTTGATATAATTTCTGTTCTGTTCTGTAAACGATTTAAAACGTTTAACATCAATGAAGATGGGAGTACGGCACGTAGTGTGCTATTAGGGAAAGTTTGCCACTCTTTTCCAAATTCCAACTACCATGGGATCGTTTGAGTGCACGCCCTACTCTCTAAGCCACCGTGGATCACCGCCTTACTGTCTTAGTCACCGTGGACCACCGCCTTACATCCTAAGCCACTGTAGACCATCGCCTTACTCTCTAAACCACCGTGGGCCACCATCTTACTCTCTAAGCCACCGTGGGTCATCGCCTTACTCTGTAAGTCACAGTGGCGCTCCTAGTTTCCTTATACTTACATTGTCTGGTGGTGACGCCTTTCATTTTATTTCTAAAGTTGAGTTTCTGAACAACTTTAGTGAGGGACCCATTATTGTAGTGTGAGAATGGTCGGAATACGTGGGTTTCTTTACAAACAGAACTTGTCATGTGTCCTCCTCTGGTATCAATCTCCTGATTACAAACATGGTCACTCTTGATCAGAGGTAACGACTGAATATCCTGTAAATACAGATACATCAATGAAAATATTATGGATTAACTTCTTACTGTTCTACACTGACCGGGATACTCCATGTCTAAGGGCAATTTGTCCGACTACATTTCGTTCTATCCAAACAGCTAAATGAGCTTATGGGAGCCACGGCGGATAAGTGGGTAAGATGCTGGGTCGCTAGCATGGGAGTCGCGTGTTCAATCCATGCATTGGCCGAGAACGTTCATCCAGATTTTCCGGCGTGGTTCCCCCTTGTCAGTGATACGGGGGTGTAGGATCTGACAAAGACATCCGTCTTGTCGTTCGGATGGTATGAAAAAACCGAGGTCCTGTGTTTCCATTGGCATGCACGTAAAAGATCCCTTGGCAGTTGGAATTCGGTATAAGAGTAGGTCATAGTGCAGCTGACCGGGCAAAATTTCCCACATAGTAGTCATATTACACTGTATGGCGTATGCCCGTCTTCAGTAGCCCAGTATAGGAGCAGAACATTAGGACGTTAAACCCCTTTTCATTTCAGACGATCTCCTCTTAGAGACCCACTGCCCTGCATTACTGACAAGATAAACCGCGTTGTAAAATCCCCCCCCCCTTCCCCAAACTTGAAATTATTTCATAAAGATAATCAAAATGCCTTTAAAACATTTCTAGTCTATTTTGATCCATATCTAATCGGAGGAAAATGTCGTGATTGCTTTAACTAACAGCAGAACGAACGTCGTCATATTTAACATGTTTTGTAGTTTCTAGGATCCCTAAATCTCTAGCCCAGTTAGGAGCAAAACAGTAGGACGTTAAACCCCATTTCATTTCATTTCTAGATCTCTAGATAACCGTAAGATACTCAAGATGTCGTGACATTGTCGGAGAAGCTTCGCTTAACACTTGAGGATTAACGAATATCATTAAGAAATTTTACTTACAGATGGAACTCTGTAGGGAGAACCATGCATAGCGCTTCTCCATCCATGTCTGTCCATACAGCCCAACAGATTCTTGGTCTTCTTGATAGACTTAGTATACCAGCCCTTGTTAACCAGTGTATATTCAGCTGGACACGATCCAGTTACATCAGTCTATTAACAACAAAACACAATATATTAAATAAAATCTGTTACCCAAAAACAAACAAACCATACATAGAAATACCCCCAAACAGAACGATATGTTATTGCGCTATTAGTTGATTTGAATAATGTCATCATCCACTGAATTACCGACATTTGCCACAAGAGGGAAGTGTCCTAACTGTATTGCTCACTTTGTCTGAAACACTGGAGAATAGTACAAGATGGCGGGCATGGGTAGTTCAGGCAGCTCACTTAAAGCCTTGTTTAAGAATTATTGCAACCCTCCGGGTACATTGCAGTTAATTGGACAATGCCTAATGGGAGCAAGGCTTTGTTTTTGTTAGAAAAGAAAAAAATAAGTTTGTGTTTCTTGCCTATAAGACTCCTCACAGTGGATGCACGGTGCCTGCGATACTTACATCTATAGGCAAGACAGTAATTCAGTGGAAAGTTTACTGATCCATTCTCTTGGTTTGATATTTGTTGTTTATTCTTGTGATGACTATAGGTTCTCCTGTCCGCAGGTTTGTCTTTATGGTTGTGTATATTGCGGTTCTCATGTACTTACTATTGGATTCGTACATCCAGCAAACTACGTCATAGCTTTTGACGTCAACAAAACGTCAACTTGACCAAGACGAACGAGAAACATCTCAACAAAACGTCATCTCGACCAAGACGAGGGAGACGCATCTCAACAAAACGACAACTCGACCAAGACGAGGGAGACGCATCTCCACAAAATAAATAAAAAAGTTGTTATTTCCTACCTCCTGAACAGTTCCGTCGTTTTCCAAGTTGTCCATAGAATTCTGGAAGGTTGATAAAACACCTCTCTTGATGTTCAAACTCCAGTCGGTTTCATCCATGGGTGGACACAGATCTTCAATAGAACCATCTTGGAATGAGAAGCGGAGAGCATTCTCTTCCAGTGATCTGGTAAACTGTGAACTGGACTGTGGAGCGAGGCGAACATTGCTCAACTAAAAACAGAAAAATACATGTTGAGTACAATTGTTAATCGCTTTGTATCGAATGGACATGTTACATTTCATATCTCATAAGTTTAATTTGGGGGGGGGGGGATTGAAAGGCCGAATAGACTATGGCGTGCACTTTACATACATAAAGAGTCTCGATGATTGAGTGGCGTGGTTTCAATTGCATAAAATTGAACCACTCAGGCTCGGATCCGCCGGAGGGGAGGGGGGCGGGCGCGCTATTTTTTGCGGTGGCGAACAAGGAGAACAAAAATACTTAAAAATGGTAGTGATCCCCGTCGTAATTTACTCCGAAACGATCTGGTTGGTGACTTGGTTGATTGCCAGTCAGTCCGCCCACCGAGAGCCGGGCTTCGCACTCCCAAGTGTGGGCAGCACGCCCCCCCCCTCCATTCTGACAATGCTGGACCCGCCCCTGCCACTGGTCATTCCCAAAATGACATAGTGTGTATTAAATGGAAGTTAAACTCTCTCTCTCTCTCTCTCTCTCTCTCTCTCTCTTTTAAAATATTCGTGCCGGGATCCAATTCTATGTTGTTTTTTTTAAAGAACTTACTCTTAAAGCCATATCACAATTGGAGATAACTTCAACATGAGCTGTAGCACTGATTCCTAGGACAGCCTTATCTTCAGATGCACCTTCCATACCTGTTTCGGTCTGTGCGTTATAGTCGAATACATACGTCGTTCCCGGTTCATATTTAAACTTTTTTGATTCTGGAAAAACAAGACAAGGAAAGGAGATATAATTAGAAAATGCATATCGAAACTGAGATAGTTATTCTTGCATTTTATCCGAGTAAAAAGCAAGTTTGATATTAAACATACGAGCGTACATTATGCAGAGCTAAATCTGCCTATTGCAGGTCTTTCTTTAGGCCTGAAATGTTATCTAAATTATTAATTGACATTAATTAACTTATCCAGACCATAATCAACTCTCGTACCAACGCTAGTCTGCGATGTTTACTGGATTAGAATCCCACTTGCTGCTCCACTTTCATTTTTGATTTAATCATGAAATGGATAATGAAGACTATGTTTTTATCGTACCGACTTTAGTAATGATGATCGAAGCTAGACCGAAAATTCAATCACTAAAATCTTGGTTAGGAGTGGACCAATTTGACTGAAATTTTCAGCAAATTCCCTTTACATCATCTAGTTTTTAACTATTACAGTGAGAACTGTCAGCTTTCTATCTAATCTCCCATAATGTATCTTTAATTAAAATGGATGGCATGTATGATTGACTAGACATATAGGTTAAATCTTTAAAAGCAGCGTGAAAATGAAATGAAATGAGGTTTAACGTCCTATTGTTCTGCTCCAACTAGGCTTATGAAGACGGGCATATCCCATACAGTGTGCTATGAGGGAAATTTTGCCCAGGCAGCAGCACTACTTTTATATCGAATTCCAACTGCCAAGGGATCTTTTCCGCGCATTCCAATTTATACAGGGGGCCTCGGTTTTTCGTCCCATCCGAACGACTAAATAGCTGTCCTTTTCAGTGGTCTTGCACCACTGACAAGGGAAAACAACGTCGGAAAATCCCCATGAACTTTCTCGGCCAGTGCAGGGATCGAACACGTGACCTCCAGGTTAGCAAGCCAACGTCTCACTCACTTAGCCACCGTCGCTCCGGACCGACTTGGACCGAATCGAATTAACAAAGGCCCATCAAAATATGTTACTTGTTTATAGCGTCTGAAATTTATAATATCTTTGTAAATACCGAATCGAATTAAGAAAGAGAAATGGGGTTTAACGTCCACTCGACACAAACTATGTCATTTCGTGACTAACATTTGGTTCAATTTTATTTCAATAATACGCTCTGGGAGGAAACCAGAGGACCCGGAGAAAACCCACGAGGTTAGACAGGCGACCCTACCCCTTGTCACGTACAATCGGGGAATCTAAGTCACTCCAGCTGACTCAATGCCAGACCTTATGATGCAACGCGCACGCGCTAATCATTCGCCCCCCCCCCCCTCAACCCCGCGATCGGAATTGAACTTGGACAAGTCTTTAAAATGTATTACATTCTAGTTGAGAGTGTGGATGAACCTTTAAAGTGTTTTACATTCTAAGGCTTTTTTGTACTTAATTAAAGTTCAAAATGGGTATAAGGCGTTCAAGTACACACACTGAATAACTGGGTTAGAAATATCGACAAATGACGAATCATCTCCAAATAAGGTTCTGATAGGATATGATAACTGTTAGCGCGTGCTATCCGCTCGAGCTCAAAGTTTCATTGATAACCAGGGTTGTTTTAATTGTATCACAAAGGTGAAAGGTCAATATTATTACGTAATGAGATATATGGCGTTTAATGATCTACGATGAGTAAGGCAGGGGACCTGAAGAAAATTAGCAATGTTTTAATCCTTGACTTATTTACTGATTGATAATTCTACGAACTCTAATAAACAATGATAACGAAACAAAAACAGGGGCATTAACAAACGATAAGTTAAATTATCTACATTAGCCCAATCGGAGCAGAACAGTAGGGCGTTAAACTCCATTTCCCTTCATTTAAATGGCGTTACTGTTGAATATAAGAAAGTCTTTGTATATGTGTCTACATGACATTTGGTCTACACACATCTAAGTTAACCCAAATAAAATTTATATTTCTACATTTCCTGTTAATACTCTCACATCTGACAAACAGCTGAAATGATTTAAGCTAGTTTGACTGTGCAATAACTGTTTAGTTCTGTAAACCAGAATATGGTTCAACAAGGTCATGCTCGTTGCTCTACCCATTTCTATTTTTGACAAATTTAATTCTGCAAAACAGTTTTATTCGTTTTATAAAAGAAAAAACAAAAACAATTCTGCAATTCTATACGGACCTAAAACAGGTCCTATATTTGAAATGAATTCAACCGCATTCTCTTATGTTGTTTTGCAAGAAGAAATTGTAATTTATACTCACCAACACAGCGTGTCGCACAAATATTTGGTTCATTAACACGTAAATTTATTGGCCCTAGAAATAAAATAAAACGATAAGTAAAACATAAAAAACTCAAAATATGTACAACGTCAAAGAACAACTGACCTACATGGTACTAGAATAAATTGAACGAATTTCTATGAAAGTTCACTTGACATATTTATATATCAAAGAGCGATGTTCTTGATACCCCCAACAAAGTGACGTTTCACTATTGTGGCACAGCCGTTTCGGTACTGGTTCATTAGAGAGAGAAAGAGAGAAATAGGGACACAAAGTAGGTAATTTCAGGACTAACATATGTTTCAATTTCATTTCAGGGGTCTTTAACAGTAGGAAGAAACTGGAGGACCCGGAGAAAACCCACGAGGTTGGACATGCGACCCTACTCCTTGTCACGTACAACCGGGGAATCTAAACCACACCAGTTGACTCAATGACAGACCTTCTGATACATCGCGCACACGCTAACCATTCAGTCACCCAACCCCCACTGCTTCATTAACATGAAGGTTCCCGGTTTCCCTGTGTCAGAGTATCCTGGCAAGAAACAGTGTCTAGTCTTTCAGATGGGGCGATAAACTACGGTCCCGCGTGTGCAAGGGTTGATAATATTCATTATCCAGGTTGGTGCAAAAAGGTAATCCGTTTATTAACCCCATTTCATTGCTTTACTTATCTGTAAATTGTAGGTTTGCGTAGAAATATGCATATTGAGACGGTCGCCAATGGGATGGGGAGAGGAGTATCCTTTGGGTTAATTGTTATCTTAAAGTGGGAGAGGGGCGGGGGGCAATCCTTTGGGTTAATTGTTATCTTAAATTAAGTAATTGTTTCATCCAGTAAATATATATATCATGCGAAACCCAGAATGACCAAACTCAGAACAGAAAATATAGTTGGGCATGTCAGAGAGAGAGAGAGTGAGAGAGAGAGAGAGAGAGAGAGCGTTTAAGTGACGTCCACTCAACACAAACCGGGTCATTTCGGGACTAACATAAGGTCCATTTTTTTTAGTAGGGAGGGAGTAAACCATGAGGTTTGAAGGCTTGAAACCACCCCACTTGGCTCAAAGACAGACCTTATGATCTAAAGTCCACACGCCTTCGACCATTCGGTCAGCCAAAATCCCGGTTCACTCATAATTGATAAGATAGTTGCTATTACGTAATTGGGGGTAGGGTGGCCGAATGCTTAAAGCATGCGCGTTGTATCATAAGGTATGCCATTGAGTCAAGTGGAGTAGGGTCGCATGTCCAACCCCGTGGGTTTTCTCCGGGTAGAAAGGTTTCCTCCCCCTGCTAAAGAGAATTATTAAAATAAAATTGAAGCATGTGTTAGTTCCGAAATGTGTCGAGTGGACGTTGAACCCCATTTCCTCTCTGTCTCTATTACGTAATTATATCTAGATGCACCAATTTAATGTCAGAACTAAATCATTATTTCCTTAAGCACGTCCAAATATAGAATGAATTGACTTGTACAATTATAATTATTACTATCTAAGACACATACACAGATGACGGAAGGAATTTATGATCAGGGTCCTATTTCACGAAATTTTAACTAAGATATAATATAAATTTTAGTAATTTGATTGGATAATATTAGATTGATTTTAGTGCTTAGCCAATCAAAATTGAAGTATCTACTAAAATTTGGTTTTTATCTTCAGGTAAGATTTCGTGAAACAGGGCCCAGAACACTTATCTTAAAATTCGTTGATTTATATATATTCGGACAGAGTCTCGTCTAAGGATTTGATCGTGAGCGGCAATGTCGGGCGAACGGTGCGAGCCGCACGAACACCGCAGCTGAGAGCCCGCGCGGCGGATTTGGGGGGCCCTCCCCCAGAAAATTTTGAAAATTGACTCCCTTAGACTCGATTTCTGAGCACTTAAAAACTAGTTTCGGAGATTTGATACACTATTAGTTTTGGCATCTTTTTAAACCATGGATTGATTAATATCCTGTAAAATCGAGATCAAAACACTGCTGCGGCTGACCCGCAGACAGAAATATACCCATAAAACAATCAGAAAGACGATTTTTTTAAACCTACGCACCATGATATAGTATTGGTACATGGGAAAAACCTTGTCAGCGATTTTCAAAACGTATGTATGTTGCCGCCCAGTCTTCAACTTTTGGGCTCAGTAGGCGGCACAGTTTGGCCTATAGTCACCATGTTAAAGGCTCAATACCACTCTTGTTGTAACTGAATAATATGTCCCAATCTTTATTCTGGTCAACAAATTGTACTATTTTAGAATATTTCAATTAATTGATGATACAAATTTCATCTTAACACACCTTATTTAAAATTTTTGAAAAATTCAACATAATGGTTTGAAACGTCTAACGTAAACCTTTTCAAATGAAACTTCGATTTAAAAATATTTTCGAACCCTCTGCACAAGTAAAATAGGATGTAATGGATAATTTACACAACAGGTAGGACACTTAAACATCTAGTACTTAGATAGAGATATTATTTATTTTCTGGAGCTTTCAAGCCAGCAAGAGTGTTATTGTCCCTTTAAACGAGGCTCTGTATTCGGACCAAAATGTTTAAAAAAAAAAAGGTAATATCAATTGTGTACGATCTTAACTTATGTTTTGGTAGTTTGTGGCTTTAAGAGATAGGTCGCTGATGAATTTAGACGATCACAGAAATAAACTGGGCTAATGAAGACGGGCATACAGTGTGCTATGAGGGACATTTTGTCCGGACAGTGGCAATACGGCCTACTCTTATATCGAATTCCAACTGTCAAGGGATCTTTTACGTGCACGCCAATGTGTACACGGAACTTCGGTATTTCGTCCCATCCGAACTACTAGACAGCTGTACTTGTCAGGCCTTCCGTCCTACATCACTGACAAGGGGGAACCACGCCGGAAAATCTGGATGAACTTCCTCGAGTAAGGGGGGAGGGGGGGGGGAGAAACTACCGAGGAAAATCCAGGGGAACTTTCTCAGTCAACATAGGATTGAAACCGGGACATCCTGAGTCACCGCGGCCTCAGCTGATCACAGAATTAATAAACCTAAACGTCACGCTTACATACAAACCGTTTTTAATAGTACAAGACGGTGTAGTTCTCCAAATGATCCAGACAAAATGACGATAATCCAAATTATTTCTTACCTGCGAGAACTCCAGCCACGAGGGCAAGGAGCAGCATAATAGGCGCCTTCATGTTATGACAATAGCGGTTCGTTATGGTCTGCTCTCGGGTCCCAGGTCTCTTATATATCCGCTATGGTATGACACTGGGTCCAAAGTTAATCATTTCAATGAACTGGGCAATCCAGTATATCCGCACCGCTATTGCTGATGATAAAGAAAATATGCTCCTCCCGATTATAGATTGCGTCAACTCTAATTGTCCAGGTCATATGATCAATTGTGTCAACCATTCGCTGTATGGATATTGTATTAAGATGCGCTCACATGCTTGCGCAGAAACCTATGTTCAAATCTACATCATAAAAAAACGCTGACCACATTCAGCGGAAAATTGATATGATATGAAAGTGAGTTCTGTTATTCAGCACCGAATTTCGGAGTGTCCTTGACAATGAACTATTAGCAACTCGGTTACTAGGCGTGTTTGTTATTTTCTCTTGGATCCTGTTCAAAAGTTTAAAACAGTTCTGTTTCTTTAACGAGTGTATAACAACTAGACGTGTAAGCTGTTTATGGTCTTAAAATTAGTTTTCGGTTATCGTTTCCCTTAGTAGATTATCTTATTGCTTTGTTAAAAAGAAATGAAATGAAATGGGGGTTTAACGTCCTACTGTTCTGCTCCTATACTGGGCTAATGAAGACAGGCATACGGCATACAGTGTGCTATGAGGGAAATTTTGCCCGGGCAGCGGCACTATCGCCTACTCTTATATCGAATTCCAACTGCCAAGGGATCTTTTACGTGCATTCCAATGTATACACGGGACTTCGGTTTTTCGTCTCATCCGAAGGACTAAAGAGATGTCCTTGTCAGACCCTCCGTTCTGCACCCCTGACAAGGGGAAACCACGTCGGAAAATCCAGATGAACTTTCTCGGCCAATGCAGGGATCGAACACCCGACCTCCAGGCTAGCGAGCCAGCGTCTTAACCACCTAGCCACCGTGTCTCCCTCGTGATAAAAGCCAAAGAGAGAGTAATTGCAGAAAAATTACAAATTTTTAACGAATACTACATTTAAGCGATGGTCTTAATTGTAAAATATATATATATATTTTGACCACAATCTAAGTGATCAACATGCCTGAATGTCATGGGTTCGAACTCGGGTGTGTTGCCCAGTCGTTCGGATGGGACGACAGCACAAAAACTGTCCGTGTACACATAACATTAGCGTGTACGTAAATAGAACATTTGTCTGTAGGAATTTAATAAAGAATAGACGGAAACGGTACCGCCCGAACAACACTCTCCTCCCTCGTGCTGCGCTCGTGTCATGAAACAAAAACAATGTCTACATGTGAACTTTTGACAGTTCTGAAGTCCAAAATATTTAGTTTTAAACTGAGAAATGACTGACGAATAACTTGAATCTGACATCCTAAAGCGCTTGTTTACAAGAGTCAATTTCCTAACCGAGTTGAATCGCGGAGTCAAATTCCCCTTAAAGGAATACAACCCTATTAATATAGGTCAGGAATATCTAATATGTTAGTTTGGAGGAATTTCGACAGAATGACCCACTTTTAGTCTCTCTCAATAGAATAAATTCATATAAAAGACGGGTGACTTCGGCGTACTATTAATTAACCTATGCAAATCGACATAATAATAACGGAACTACGGTGGCTAAGTGGGTAAGACGCTGGCTCGCTAGCCTGGAGGTCTCAAGTTAGCAGAGAAAGTTCATCGGGATTTTCCGACATGGTTTCCCTGGTGCAGGATCGGGGGGGGGGGGCTATCTAGTCGTTCAGATGGGACGAAAAGCCGCGGTCCCGTGTATACATTGGCGTGCACGTAAAAGATCCTTTGGCAGTTGGAATCGATATAAGAGTACGCCATAGTGCCGCTACCCGGCCAAATTTCCCCCATAGCATACTGTATGCCTTATGCCCGTCTTCATTAGCTCAGTCGGAGCAGAATAGTAGGACGTTAATCCCATTTCATTTCGATAGGATAACCAGATTTTAGTTTCGACTGTGGACAGAATACATTCATATCAAAGACGCGGGACCTTGGCAGGCTATAACCGAATTTTAGTTTCGAGTGTCGACAGGCTATAACGTATGTTGTACTATCGAGAGATTAAAATAATATGTATAAGAGATCAAGCCCAATCTTTGTTTAGAATAAAAGACATACAACATTATAACCTTCTACTGTATCTTATAGATTTCTACATTTTTCAAATACAGTGTTTGAAAACTCAATTCCTTAAAGGAGTCACAGATGACGCAGTGAGTAAGGAACTAAGCAAGAAATCACAGGTTCGAGCCCTGTGTTGACCAAGCCCCCCCCCACCCCTATCTATGATGGAGCGTCTGGTTCATCGGATGGGACTAAAACAATATGATTAATGGTTTATTAATAATATCAATGTATTCTAACATGTAGAGAAAGAAGTGTCTCGCTAGCCTGGAGGTCGGGTGTTCGATCCCTGCATTGGCCGAGAAAGTTCATTCAGAGTTTCCGGCGTGGTTTCCCCTTGTCAGTGATGCAGGATGGAGGGCCTGACAAGGACAATGTCTTGTCGTTCGGATGGGACGAAAAACCGAGGTCCCGTGTACACATTGGCGTGCACGTAAAAGATCCCTTGGCAGTTGGAATTCAATATAAGAGTAGGCCGTAGTGCCGCTGCCCGGGCAAAATTTCCCTCATAGCACACTGTATGGCGTATTAGCCCAGGTAAGGAGCAGAACAGTAGGAGGTTAAACCCCATTTCATTTCATTTCATTTAGAAAGAAGTGCTGCTTTAAACGTCGAAACATGTGCAGCGTCCGCAATTTATATACACCCAAATCATCTTTCTCCTAAAACCCAAAACGTGACGTCATGTGAAGTTTGTTCACGACTGAGACAAATGCTGGTATATACAAGACGATATTGTATTTAATCTGTTAGAAATCTGACGAGTTTCCGTTCTGTGTGATCAAGTACAAGTTGGTGTTTCCTTTCTCTTTATACTTTATACTTTACCCTCGTTTACAAGATTCAAATACAAATATTATATGCGTATTGGTTTATTTATTTATCGGTTATTTGTCTTTGTTGATCAATCTTTATTCTTGTTGACATGTTTTAGTTTTGAAAGAAAAATGAACATAGTGTTTGCTTTTCCCTTTTTAAAAATTTGTTTAAAGCGCCAGAATGATATATACCTTAGGATCGCCTGTCCAATCTCGTGGGTTTTCTCCGGGTCCTCCGACTGCCTCCCACGGCTAAGAGACACCTACGCGCTAGCGTATTAATAAAATAAAATTGAACCATATGTCATACTCTCTCTCTCTCTCTCTCTCTCTGCCTCTCTCTCTCTCTCTCTCTCATTACTGAGCTATTTCATTTCTATATTTTTTTGTTGATATATTTCAGTTTTTTTAAAGAATAATGAACATATCATATTAGAATAATATACTTGTGTCTTTTTCGCTTTTAAAAATAAATTTGTTCAAAGAGTCAATATCAATATCCATATTTGTTTATCAGCTGTTGTTATGTTGTATAATGAATTATTTTATCAATCCCCTTTTCTAGATAACGTATTTTAAATTTGATAATTGACATATTTAAAATTTGAAAAAAAAAAATATGAACATATCAATTCAAAATATTTATGAGTGTTTTTCACTTTGAAAAGCTCAATGATGCCAGGCAGGATAATATATGCGTATGTGTTTATCAGTTATTTTTCTCTGTTTCACTCTAGCTCTTTATCAAGCTGTTTTTCTAGAAACATCTTCCGTGTTGATATACTTTACTTTTAAGAACCACGAACGTGCTAATTTAAAATATGTTTATGTTTATTTCATGTTAAAAAGTTTGTTTAAAGTGCCAATATGCCAGAATATATTTTATATGTAGAAATTACGACCATTAAAGATACATTATGGAAGATTTGATAAAAAGCTGTCAGTTTTGCTGGATAAATCGTAAAAGGGCGAAACATTTGACCAAGTAGACAAAACAGGCTTACAAACAATTTGGGAAACTATGCACCCCTATTTATTACTTTTATTGAAAGGTAATAAAAATATTACCCGTAACAAATGCCCGATTACCTTTATTGAAAGGTAATAACAGCATTACCATGTAACACATGCCCGATTACCTTTATTGAAAGGTAATAACACATTACCATGTAACACATGCTCAATTACCTTTATTGAAAGGTAATAACAGCATTACCATGTAACACATGCCCGATTACCTTTATTGAAAGGTAATAATACATTACCATGTAACACATGCCCAATTACCTTTATTGAAAGGTAATAACAACATTGCCATGTAACACATGCCCGATTACTTCTATTGAAAGGTAATAACAACATTACCATGTAACACATGCCCGATTATTTCTATTGAAAGGTAATAACAACATTACCATGTAACACATGCCCGATTATTTCTATTGAAAGGTAATAACAACATTACCATGTAACACATGCCCGATTATTTCTATTGAAAGGTAATAACAACATTACCATGTAACACATGCCCGATTATTTATTAGGTGTTTTCATTATAGATACATTATGGGAGATTAGATAAAGAGCTGACAGTTCTCACTATTATTGTTGAAAACTAGATAATGTAAAGGGAATTTGCTGAAAATTTCAGTCAAATTGATCCACTCTGAACCGAGAATTTAGCGATTGAATTTTCGGCCTAGCCTCGATCATCATTACTAACGTCGGTACGATAAAAACATAGTCTCGATTATCCATTTCATGATTCAATCCTGAATGGAAGTCGAACAGCAAATCGGAACCTAATCCAATAAACATCGTAAGCTAGCGATGCCATCGCGAGTTGATTATGGTCTGGATAAGTTAATTAATGTCTAATTAATAGTTTAGATAACATTTCAGGCCTAAAGAAAGACATGCAATAAGCAGATTTAGCTCTTGCATAATGTATGTTTAAGTAATTTTATTAAAACTAATCCTTGTCAAAATATTATTCTATTTGGTCGTTTTATTGAAGTTATGGCCATTTAAAGTTTTCATTCATTCACACCCCCATTTCAATATCTTTAAGCAAATAAAGTAATAATAATTCTGCTTCCGTGCATGAAAGG